TTTCTTTCTTTCTTTCTTTCTTTCTTTCTTTCTTTCTTTCTTTCTTTTTATCAAACCCTGAGCTTGTAAGTCTATCACATAGGATGTACTAAGCAATGTTTGATAAATGGACAATGAGTGAACAAGTGAATAAAATTAGCCTAGGGCAGGTCTTTCTGTGAGACAAGTGTGAACACTGACTTTGTCATCCATTTATTATTCACTTCGCTCTCCAGTCTCTTGATTTCCTCGTCGATGTTGATAGATATCCTAAATGTGGATGTGTTGGGGAAAGGTAAACGTTCTCCATTCGTTTCTCCTGAAATTGGAGTTAAAGGGATGTTTTTGAACACTTACCTCTGTATCTGAATGGGAAGCATAATGGGAAAGAGTTGTGATACAAATTTGTAGAAGGTGTGAGGTCCTTGTGTTCACGTCTAAGTACTAGGAAAACTAGAAATGGTAAACAAACAGGGCCATCCATTCAACGAAAAAGATGTATAAACTGCTTTCTGCCCAAAAGGCTGGAATGGATGTAGTTAATAGCTTTGTGACTTGTATTTTCTGTAGGCTAGGCCACACCTGACTCCCCCAGACTTATGCTGATCTAAGACATTCTCCTGAGACCCTTATCTTAAGCATTTTTTTTCTCAGTCAGGCCATAGAACCCACCTATATGGAAGAGGTCACATGTACCTCGTTTTGATAGTCATGCTTTGAGCTTTGTTGTGCACATAGGATTGAGATAAAAAAAAAAACTTTTTTCAAAAATTCTATTGTACTTAAACATGTCTAAACCAATGGCCAGTACGAAACTGTAGAAGTTTGAACCAAAAGCAGCTACTGAGCTGTACTGAATTGGATTACCTTCTTGCCTCACACAGAGTGTTACTCTGCCAGGCCTGTTGTTTCCAGACAATACACAAATAAATTCCCCATTTGAATTATTAAATAAAGAGGGTTTTCTATTAATTACATTCTCCTTATCTATCTATGCATCCATCTGTCTATCTGTCTCATGTGTGTATGTGTGTGTATGCATATTCAGCTTTTCATGTGTGCACATGTGTCTGCAATGAGAGATCCAATGAACATAATCTTCAACTGCTCTCTGCCTTATCTTTAGGTTCTATGACTCTCAGTGAACCTGGAGCCTCCTAATTTGGATGGGCTGCCTTTCCAGTTAGCCCAAGCTTTCTCCTGTCCCTACTATTCTACCCACAGTGCTGAGAGTACAGACATGTACTGCCATGTAGGCTTTTGTATGTGAGTTTTGTGTATTCAAATTCAGTTCCTTAGGCTTGTATGATGAACATTTTACAACTGAGCCATTTCTTCACCTCCAGGTCAAATTCTCTCATTTTCAAAACTCTATGTTTCACTATGTTTATGACCTCAAGATCCCATCCCAGTCTGACCAGGCTTCCACTTTATGAAGGCATAAATACTTTAATAGAGAAGCCCCATTCACTGGTGGGATGCCTATTAAACTAAATGAACCGCATTATACTAGATATGTGGATATTGTAGTGAGCTCTTCTCCACACTCATAAAGCAGTGTTTTTATTTTCTAAGCTATTTACTCATGAATTAAAACTTACAAATACTAGATAGTATGAATGATACAACCATTAGAATGAGGTCTGTTATGTTTCTCAAAGTGTTTATAATGAGGATTGTATTTTTGAATGTATGGTTTTAATGATCAAATTCATAGTTCAACAGAATGACAAAAATCAGGAATTAAATAAATGTAGAAGGTGACATAGTCCTATACACAATTAAATCAGTCTCTGATTTAAGGAGACTTTAAGATATGGCTTGGCAAATGAAATAAGCACCCAAGGGATGTGGGGAGATGAAATCTTCTCTGATACTGAATTCTAGGAAATTTTGCTATTTCAGTCTAAGGAAAGATGAATAGAGTCAACTAATCAGAGACTGAGCTACAAACCAAAGAGTATACCTGGACTGGACCGAGGCCCCTGGTACATAAGCAGCAAATGTGCAGCCCAGTCTCCATGTGGCTCCCCAACATCTGAAGTGGGAATTGTCCCTAAAGCTGTTGCCTTTGTGTGAAATCTGTACCCAACAGGGCTCCCTTGTCTGGCCTCACTGGGAGAGGATGTGCCTAATGCCAGGGTGGAGGGATGCCTAGGGGTGCCCCACCGTCTCAGAGGAGAAAAGGACAGGGAATGGGTGAAAGGACTCTTTGCAGGAGGACTGAAAGGGGAAGCAGTGATTTGGTTGTAATAAATAAATAAATAAATAAATAAATAAATAAATAAACAAACAAACGACCAGTCACTTGCTTTTAATGAACTAGTGAAATATTACACATCAAAAAACTCATGTCAAACATCATTCTAAATTAAGTCTAATACATTCAATGAATACATTCTCTCTCTGGCTTCAGAGTCTTAAGGTTCCCTTGGCTTAAATATATGTGATCTGCGTTCAAGATAAATTTTTAAAATAAGATTCAGAGTTTGTCTTGAAAGTTATACCTGGTCTGGGAAGAGGACTCAGCAAGCATTGCACTTTCTGTGTGTGGTGGTTTGAATAGGTTTGCGCACTTCCCCCCACCCCCACAAAAAAACACGTGTTAGAATGGTTAGCCTACAGGGAGTGACACTATTAGGAGATATGTCCTTGTTGGAATAGGTGTGGCCTTGTTGGAGGAAGTATGTCACTGTGGAGGTGAGCTTTGAGGTCCTATACTCAAGTTCCACACAGTGCAGAAGAGACATTCTCCTCCTGTTTGCCTTCAGATCAAGATGCAGAATTTCCACCTCCTCCTCCAGCAGTACATTTGCCTGAATACTGCCATGCTTCCTGCCATGATGATGATGGACAGAACCTCTGAAACTACAAGCCAACCATAATTAAACACTGACCTTTATATGAGTTGCCTTGGTCATGGTGTGTCTTCACAGCCATAAAACCCTAAGACACTGTGCAAGCAAGAGGACCTGTGTTCAATTCCTAGTACTCATATGAAAAACCAAGAGAAGTCAAATGTGTGCCGCATATGTGTACAAAGGTCATTTTGTGTATTCAAACTCAGATCCTTATGCTTGTAAGATGAACACATTACAACTGAACTACCTCTCCAGCTCCAAATCTAATTCTTTCAATTTTAAAACTCTGTTTCACTATTTTTCTTAAACTGGTAAGTGTTCACTATGACACCAAGATCCTATACCAGTCTGACCAGGCTTCCACTTTACAAAGAAATAAATACTTTAATAGAAAAGCTCCATTCACTGGTGTGATATCTATTAAAAATAGTGCATAACCACCAGACTGTGGGGGTGTGGAACCAGGACTATCAGTGGGGCTTGATAGCCTCTAGCCTAGGTTCAGTGAACAATCCTCTTTGGAGCCTGAGAGATGGTATAGCAGTCAAAGTTCTTGTAAGAAATCAAAAAGACCAGTTTGCATCCCCAGAACCCACCTCAATGTCTGGTGGTCATGGCAGCCCACATGTAATTCTAGCATAGTAAGCTAGGAATAACAAGATTCCTGGAGGAAGCTAACTAGTAAAACTATCCTTATAGGCTAGCTTTGGTTGATTGAAAGCTTCTGCTCTAAAAAGAAGATGGAAGAATGATTTATGGTTACTCTCACATCAAACCCAGACCTACACATACATGAACACAGCTACACATATATGAGCCCACAAACATGGGTAAATGCATACCCACATGAAAGCACACAACAAACACATATGCATGAAAACAGCCTACAAAACAAACAAACAAAACCAAAACACTGTTTGGAAGAATAAAGCAGAGACTGATAGGGTGGCAGACCTGGACCTCATTCTATGCACAGGTGTACCAACCATAACACATGTGCATATGACATACATGAACTTACATGCACATGAAACAAATATGGCACTAGAAAACATTTTTGTTTCCCATGAAAACCAGTTTCCTTTTAACCCTGGAGAGTAAACTGTTCAGTGCCTTCCTTAGTGCAATCCAGATGAAAGGTAATTCTTACACCTGCTTTCTCTTCTCTAGAATCTAGGTTTCTCTTTTTATACTTTCCTATAAGAAAGTCTTCTTTGAGTCTCTTCTTGCTCCTTTGTATGTGTTTGACCCCAGGTTTTTCTTTCTTTTTTTTTTTTTAGCAGAAGATGAGAATAGTTCTTCAGAGCTGCTGTAGATGGTAATGATCTCACAAGGGAGAGAACTACAAACAGAAATAAAGGGAAGAGGGGCCGAGAAACCATACTGATGACACAGGGGCAATAGAATCTGAGCACTGATGATCAGGTATATGAGTCCATGATTGCTTGCTTGCTGATCTTCTTTCCTGAGTTCTAGTGGTGCTATCCTAACTTTCTGGTTTACATGCAGTGTCTTCTTTTTCAGTCTTAACTTTTTCCCATTAAAAAAAAAAGGAAATTTGGAGAGCCTTCAGAGATGACTCAGCAGTCAAGAGAAATTGCTGCTATTGCAGAATATCTAGGTTCGGTTTCTAACACCCACAGAGTGCCCCAAATCATCTGTAACTCCAGTCCCAGCAGATCCAACACTATTTTCTGATCTTCTTAGACACAAGTCGTGCAGATGATGAACAGACATACATGCAGAATTTAAAAAATACCTTTAACATTTTAAAAGTAGTATCTATTACTTTTAAATATTGCCTAACTTCTAAATTAAGATGGTCTTAGAAGCTGGGCTTGCACTGCTAGTATGTCTCATGGCATCCAGCATGAGCCCCTCTTTATAGATTGCCTGCATGTATTCATGGTTTCTCTGTACGATGGGCTACTATGAAATGGAAGATTGATGAGAGGAACTTAGCTGGGGCATCCATAATGCCACCTACCTTGTTAAAAATCCTCCAGTGGTGGAGTCACTGCAGTTGTCTCTTTGCTCAGTTCCTTAACTCAACCCTTCATTTCCATTTGGTCATTATATTGCTCAGTTTCCTCTGAATGCAGCTCCAAATTCATTTGCATTGAATGGATTCTGTTTCGAATTCGTTTCTACTCTGGTGACCACTTTAATTTAACTTGATTGAACTTTTGAAGGTTTGTTTGTTCCTGTTCCAGTGTTGTTCCTAAGTGGACTTGGAAGAAATGATTCTGGGGTATTAATTATTTTTCAATTGCTGATTATGCAATGGCTGGCACATTGTCATACCTCACTAAATGGCAAATTCTTCCCTGGACAGCATCATTAAATATACTGAACGTGGTCCTATGAATGATGCACCAAGGGACCACTGTCACACTAGTAGTATATCAGTTCAGTATATGAGTGCAGTAAAGAAATATAAAATCTAGTACATTTTGAACTACAATGTGAAGAAGAGCATACAGATGATGCAGTCACTCCAGAGAAGCAAAGCTGGTTTACTGAGAATAGACATGACTTTCCTAAGGCCAAAGAGCTAATTCAAGAGCAAGCACTTTCAGTCTGAATTGTCCAAGCCAAATGCCCTTATGACACTGTCTTTGTCTCCCTCCTCTTTTGTGGATCAATAGTTAAACCGTGAACACTTCCCGATGCTGACTTTCTAAAGTCGCCAGGAAAGAGTACCTCCATTCTTTTCCTTTGAGACTTAAGTCTTCTGATAAAATATTTATGGCAGTTCATCTTTTGTAGACCACTTTCAAAGCTTCTCAGGTCTGTTGAGTCATTGTATGTGGAGAAGTTATTTCTGAAGTCACAGGGTAAATAATGCACATCCTCGGGAAACATCTTTCCAAATTAAAGGGCAGTAGTATCTTTCCTTTATTTAGAATGTCTTTCCAAGAGTTTCAAAGTTATTGGTTCTTGAACATTGCAGAAGTATTCTCTGTGAATAGCACTCAGTTGAAATAGAGAGTGCAATGCTACCTAACAGGCTAGAAAACAAACTACAGTTGACAGCTTATGCCTTGACCTGGAGTCCACTGTATAACTTTTATCATTTATTTATTTTTGCTATGCCTTTCTATTCATCAATCTCCTTGTTCATGCACCCTCCCATTTTACAAAGTGCTGTTCATAGTGCATAGCAAAATGCCTACCTGTTGTATGGCACAGACCTCTGCATGCACCTGCCATCATCTCTATGTTCACTGTGACAACTTGCGAGAGTTCATTATCATTGGTCCAGTGAGCTATTAACATCTGCTCCTATGAGGAGGGGACAGGAGGATCATTGTTCCCTCACCTGGCATCCCAACTGTTCCTCTCATCTACTTCTATTCAGTTCTTCCCTAATTGTACATAACTTCCTGGTCTTGGGGAGATACTAGAGAGTATAGACTGAGAAAGACTATGTGAAGGTGCTCTATGCTGGCATGGGGAGGCCATCTTCCATGCTCAGTATAGGTTTTCCGGTACAGCTGTTTTGGAATCACCTGTGCTCCTGTGAGGAATCCCATACTCCATAAGTGGATATAATAATCTCAACGGTTCCAAAGGGTGAACTTTGATGGAACCAGACTCTGGCTTGTTGATGAGACCTTAGAAGGGAAAGCACATGTTCTTCACATCTTTCTGAAGAAAGAAGTTTCAGAAACACTAACAGATACGGACTATTAAGAGTGACAAATTTGTGGAGGCTACTTACAGAGGTTTAGAACATGAAAGGTCAACCTCTGGGGGCAAAAAAAGAAAAAAAAAGAGAGAGAGAGAGATGGAGAGCCACATATCCCATAGCACATTTCACAGGAATTTGAAATGGACACATTGAGAATATTTTAAATTTCAGGAAATGTAGGATAGAGTGACTATAGGTTTGGTTAAGAAACATTCTGTCTGAAACTATTGATGTGCTGGAAAGAAGTGGGAAATTTGGGAAGCCTGTACTGAACAAAGATTCTCTAAGAAACACAATTCCATTCATATGCACAGTGACAGTCGTTTTGCTACAGGAGCACAGCTGTGTACTGTCGTATTCCAAGAGACATTCACTCTCTTTGTAGCATCTCTCTGTGTAACATGACAGAAAAACAAACAAACGAACTAAAAAGCCAGGTACCTCTTTTCTTATAAACTAACTCCTTTTTTTGTAAACTAAATGGAGGAAATATAAGCACATCTTTTATTTTAAACCAAACAAGCCAGCACTGGGCACTGATACTGTAATAAAGTAAGAGTGATTTTAGAGATGTGGTTTTCCCAGAAGTGAGTTGTGAATGAATGAATGAAGGAAGGAAGGAAGGAAGGATGAGGGACACCAAGCATGTCTCCACAGTGATTTACCTCAGGCCCCACTGGCTTCTGGAATGTGAGGTACAGATATGTGGCCATATTTGACGCTGGGAAATAAAGAGCATTTTGTGGATCAACAAACCAACACTGAAGCTCCTATACATGAACTTTAAAATCCAACAATTAAACATGTCCTAAGCATGCATGTGCTTACTCTTTCTTCTCTGCCAAAGGCAGAGACCACCTAGTGAGTTTATTTCATTTGCTGCTTAAGTATATTGGAAGAATTTTGATAGAACAGCTAAAACCACCTGTTTACTTTTTTTTATTAACTAAGTTCTTTAGTAGGAAATTTGGGGGGGTGGAGAGATGGGTCAGTGGTAAAGAGCGCTTGTGGCTCTGGGGGAGAGGGAAGGGGAGATTGAGGGTCACAGGGAGAAGTGGAAGGAGGGAAAACTGTTATCTAGATATGTTGTATGAATGAAGATTTTTTCAATTAAAATTAAATTAATTTTAATAAATTAAAAAGAAATTATTTAAAGCATTTGTAAAGATTTATTTTATTTTTTTATTGAGTTGGAGTCTCATTGTGTAGCCCTGTCTAGCCTTAAGTTTATGCTATACAGTAGGCTGGCCTCTAACTCATAGAGATCGGCCTGTCTCTGCCTCCTGAATGCTGACATTAAAGGTATGTGCTATCACCATCCAAAACTTTGTTTTCTCATCATTCAAACACTTTATCCACCAGAAAGCTGCTTACTGAGACAAAACTTAAGCAACCTTGAACC